ACACACACACACACACACACACACACACAGTGAAATCAGGAAAAGATTCAATTTTCAATTTCATTCAATTTTTCAGGAATTCAGGATTTTTTTCAAACAAATGTTTCCAACACTTTCACAGATTTGAGAGATGAATTAATGGACCTGGATTATAAATACACGTATATACAGATATTTATACGTCTTATATTCATTCTCGTTTCTGAATAACCAAAGTTTCAAGGTGCCAAGACCGATGTTTGGGACAGAGAGAGGACAATTAAGGAGAAACAGCTCAAACATCAGTGTTTTAACTGCAGCTGCATGGACGTGTCTCTGCTTCTTACTGCCATCTAGTGCTGAGCAGTAGAAGAGTGAAGGAGTCAAGGAACAGAGCTCACATGTGAAGGGATCTTCTGCTGCACTGATGTGTGAGGACACGTCAGTGTCGTTGAGAAACATCAGGAAATCTCTATTTTCACCAAACTAAGGATTAAAACTAATCACCATTAAATATTGAACCTAGTGAAACTGTTGATCAACAGAATCTCTCCGTGAAGACGTGAGATGTTCTTATCTCACTGATGTTTGAAATGTTTCTGATCACTCTGGTTTTAATTTAATCACTTGATGAAATAAAATCTACATATTGTGTCGGATTCTTGAAGCCAGTTCAGATGACCTGAAAACCCAGAGCTCCGTGTGTCCCTGTGGCTCCTGCAGCGAGGTGATGGCGTGTCATTGGATTAACGTGGAGGAACATGGACACGAGCTTCGTTCTCTCCAATCGGATTAGTTCTGCATCCGAGGCCCACGACTCTGACGGGACGCTTCCTGTGACATCACAGCTCCGATAGAGCAGCAGCCTCAGTAATGATGCTGATGAGATTTATTTTGAAAGTTACAAAGTTAGAGGATAAAACAACTTTTACAACAGTCGCAGATTATTTTTATCTGTATCTTTTATATTTACATAAGAAATATAAAAGATACACGTGTAATAAATAAACTCATGTAAGAATGTACGACGTGTTGTTTTAATAAACACGTACGTCATCATATCATATAACACCAAATAGGATCTATAGAGATATTTAAATAAACCTCATATATATTGTGAAAGTATATCATCATGAACCGTGAGACATATAACAGGGACACATACATGTTACATGTTACGTGTGTGTGTGCTGCTGAACACGTCTTCTCTCCATCACGTCTCTACTCGTCTGTTTTCACCACAGAGGAAAAAGAGACTTGTGATGAATCAGATTCTATATTTCTTGTATTCTGACACGTTCTGAAGGGAAACGTCTTTTCCTCTACAGGACGTTCGCCTGACATGAACCCGGCTGCAGGATCTGAAGACTGACGATGAGTCTCACTGCTCTCCTGAACCAGGGGTAGAACAGTGCGTAGATGAGTGGGTTGAAACAGGAGTTAGAGTAGAAGAGGAACATCGCAAAGGTCCCAGAGGAGGAATTCAGCAGGTCGTCTCCTGCCAGAGAAACTCCGTAATATGGACAGAAACAAACGAGAAAGACGAGGACGAGGACACCGAGAGTCCTGGCTGCCTTCAGCTCCGACCTCCTGGTGTTCACGGTCACTGAGAGCTGCAGCGTGACGGCTGTGACGTGGCAGCGCATCGCACGAGCCTGAGACACCGCCACCACAAACACCCTCGTGTACAGAACCACGATCACAGTGATGGGGACAACGAAGGTCAGGACCAGGTCCACGGCTCCTGCAACGTAATCAATGACGATCAGACATTGTCCGTAACAGGAGTTGAACCTGTCTGGATGCGTCAGGTCGTCCTTCAGGAAGAGGCTGCTGTAGAAAACAGAGCAGAGCCAACACACACACACACACACTTTGACTCTCCCCTCAGTGACTCTGCTCCCGTAACGCAGAGGCTCACAAATGGCGAGGTAGCGGTCGACAGATATCAGCACCATGTCTCCGACTGAGGCCGAGGTGACGATGAAGGACACGTAATTATAGAGAGAACACACCAGATCACCGAGAAACCAGCAGGACGACTTTCTGAGGACTTCTCCCGGCATCAGCAGGAGGCCCACGAGTAAATCTGAGACGGCCAGAGAGAGGAGGAGGATGTTGGTGGGAGTGTGGAGCTGCCTGGAGAGAGAGAGAGAGACAGACAGACAGAGAGAGAGAGAGAGAGAGCAAACAAAGAAGAGATGAAGTGATCGGCCTCAGCTGTAATATAAATGAAATTCAAACATGGCAGAACAAATAAGACACAGTGTGAGAGGTGTCTCTGCCTGAAGTGGGAGATGGAGATGATGACGAGCAGGTTGAGAGCCACGGTGAGGACGGACACCGAGTACGGCACGACGAGCACCAGCACCGCTTCAGGCCAGGCGGGGGTGGGCCTCCTGCAGGAGGAGTTGATGTGAAGTGGAAAGCAGAGCGGCGCTCCGTCCTCCATCTTCAGAGCTCCCTGGTTACTTCATGTAACTGCCTGACGTCTCTCACAGGTTCTCAATTTATCCCCTCGTTCTCTCTCGTCTGTTGGACTCTGACGTCCCTCATCTCCATCTCTGAGAGCCGTCCCTCATCTCCATCTCTGAGAGACGTCCCTCATCTCCATCTCTCAGAGACGTCCTCTCTCACTGACTCACAGCAGACGACAGAAAAACTACAGAAGTATTCCAGATTCAAACAAACCCCTCTGACCTTTGACCTTCGACCTTCGAACACCAAAATCTAATCAGCTCATCACTTAATTACTTAATTAGTTAATTAGTTAATTAGTTAATTAATGAGTCCAAGTGAATGTTTGGACAGAATTCAGAGACAAACTGAAACTGAAACTCTCTGAAATGTGTTTTTTCCTCATTCAATATTCACAACTAACTAACTAACTATAATGATATTATTATTAGTGAACTCACCCTGATATATGTATATATTTATATACATATATATATATATATATATATATATATATATATATACATATATATATATATCACCTGTGTGGCCGTCTATAAACTTTCTCATCTTGACATCAACTTTAAAAAGTCTCGATGCTTCAGCAGCTGTTGCATCAGGTGTTGTTGTTGTTGCATCGTGTGTTTGTGTGAACTGTTTTCTTCACACCTCCGACTGTAGAGACACCAACGTCCTGTGTCACAGTCATTAGGAGACACTAATGGAGAGGCGTGTGTGTGTGTGTGTGTGTGTGTGTGTGACACTGATCCACAGAGAGTTGAGGTTCAGCTCTTTACAAGTTCACTTTTCTTAACTTTATTCACGCTGCTTTATATTTTAATCCAGATTTTCTTCTTCTTCTATGGTTCAATGAGTCTCTACTTCCTGTGATTTGTCCCAAAGTCCAAACAAAGTGTTTTCACTGTGAACCAACAGAACCTGAACAGAAACAAACCAAGTGTGAACGAGTCCAGAGTCAGATTCATGTTTGAGAAGCTGATCAGAGAACAGTCACGTGAATACTTGGAGGGTTTGAGTTTAGATTTATTATCATTAATAAACATTATTATTCACACGTCCAGTTCAACAGTGTTTCACAGGAATGAGGCTGCAGCCGTTCAGTTCTCACTCTTCATGGATCCATCGGGTTGTTTCCTCCGAGACTGGATCCGTGAACATTTCGGACATTTCTTCTCCACGAAACAGTGTTTGTGAAAACAGGTCCTGCAAACTGTGAGGAGAGAGACTCAGTCAGCCGAGGTCTCACTGGGGTTTTTCAGATTTCATGCAGAAATGATTTTCACAGAGAACTATTGAATCTAACATGTGACATGAAAGTAGAAGTGTGTCCACCAGGGGCAGCACTCAAACATCAGTCCTCTGAAACATCGGTGAATGTTTCTCTTACAAATCTGTGAAAATGTTGAAAAACTAAGACAGAGATAAAAACCCCTCGATCCGGATCAACATCCACACTGAACGAGTTCTGCTCTGACCCATAACACATCCAGTTCGGGGGTGGAAACATAACCTCCTCAGTAAACACTTGGTCTCTACGACATAATTCAGCTTCTTCACTCTCACGGATCAGAAGCGTCTCTTCTCTGTCTGCACCTGGACATCGGCTGCACGTGTCGCTCTGAAAGGGAAAGATGACGTTTCCTTCTCTGCAGAATTCACAGATGAAACCTCGAGCCAGACAAAGCTGCGGCAGAGAAATCACAACACGTGTTACAGAAGAGGAGATTCACCGAGGATCAGAAATACACAAATCTCACGGAAATAGTCAAACATCGTTCTAATGCTTCGTTTCAACCATAACTAGCTGACAAGCTTTGTCACTGGTGCACAATGCATCCTGGGATACGTTGGCCTGAGACCAATCCACCGGTCGGTTGCTCGTTAACAGTCAAGTCACGTCCCTGTCTTCAGATGCAGCCCCCGCAGGATGAGGCCCCTGAACCGGGACACACGTGTCCACATTAGATTTGTTTAATTTTAGACTGACCTCGCACTCCTCGACGTGAGCGATGGCGGCGTGCACCACGGCTTTGACCTGCGCCCCGAGCTGACCCTTCCTCAGCCTCAGGAGGTCGTCCATGGAGAGGAGGGGCGGCTGCTGGAGGACGAGGTTAGCGGGAAGCTGCTCGAACTCAGTCATCACCCTGAGACACAAACACATTAAGACTGATGAAGGTACCTGAGACCAGCAGGACGTCACTTCACTTGTCCTCATTAACGAAGTCGTGTTTAAAGACACGTCACACCTGGATTAAAATGTGCAGAACGTGTTCACAGCATCACACTGACTTGAGTTTAAGCTTCTTTTAATCTCGAAGGTCTCACAGATCTTTTATCTAAACTTTAAGATCCTCTGATCCTCTGATCCAGAGTCTGAGGCTGAAGACGTCAGGGGACAGAGTTTTAGAAACAAGAGTCTGAGGCTCTGGACCGACCTGACGAAACACCAAGTCCCAACTTTGTCATACTCTGAACAACAGAAGGATTTTAGAGCGTGAGCGTCCCGACCCACAGTTCATGTTCAGAGTGTTGACTTCTTTCTACCTTTCAGATAATCGACAGGTTTTCAGCAGCTTCCTGACGCTAAACAGCTGATCCAGCAACTCCTGGAGAAAAGATGACGGGAAGGACAGAAGAAAAGAAAAGACAGAAGACAGGAAGGACAGAAGAAACAAGGAAAGACAGAAGACAGGAAGGACAGAAGAAAAGAAAAGACAGAAGGAATTCAGATCAGAATTACAATCTTACAAAATAATGAATTTAAAATTCAGCGTTCAGGACTTTTGGGTTAAAAATAACTTATGATGTCACTTTGGGCTCGTGAATGATATTTTTTAGAATTTTATTTCATGAAGATAAAGTCAAGGAAATAAGGCAGAATAATTAAAAATAAAAAAAACATAATCTGGAATTTTATTAAAGAGAAAACATAGAAAATAACAACAAAGATGAAGGATGAGGACAAATAAGGGAAGATTCTTCTTCTTCTTCTTATCATTATATTAGATATTTAGAAAAAAACTATTAAAGTGATTTCTATGAAAACCCATGTTTTATGTTTCAGAGCAGAAATCGGATCAGGATCGGGGAAACGAGCGAGTCGTCCACACGACAGAAGGTCGTGGTTCGATCCCTGGCTCCTCCCTGACAGAGTTTGGATGATGGAGGCGCTTTGTGAATGGATGAATGTGACTCGAACTGTTCAGCTGTTGAAGGTCGATGAAACAGGAGAAGATCCATAAAACTACATGAACTGTTTTTATCATTGTCTCTGATTTGTCCTGAACTCACACTGAACCTCTGCAGGCCCCTCCCCCGGCCGCTGAGCTTCTTACTGACGCAGCTCGGCTCGAACAGAGGCAGGAACCAAACTGAGTCCAGCAGCTGTTTGGAGAAATTACTCACAGGGAATCTGTCACGAGAGACAATCACTTCAGTGTTTCAGCAATAAAACTTCAGAAGAAGGTGAATATATATATACTGTGTGTACATATATATATATATATATATATATTTATATAAAGACTCAAAGTATCTCAATAACAATCACGACTATTTTAAAGTAGTGTGTTTTTATCACCTGTTAAAATCCCAGCAGGACAGAACTCGAGCAGGAATCACAGCCTCCGAGCCGCCGTGACAACAGTCACAGAAATACCTGTCAGATAATAATGTTTCTTTAATGTTTGTATTGATTCAATATGAAGCTTAATGTCCAGAGACTCAGGAGAAGACAAGACAATAGAACAGATGATGGACGAACCTGCCCAGGTATTCACAGTACCTCAGTTTCTTCATGTATCCTGGTGACAGAGAGACTCAATGTTGTTAATCCTCATTATTATTCTATTCTTCAGTTCTAGAAATGTCTCCTGCTGTTTCTTCATGTGTGACACTGTGGACCTTCATGTCTGTGGACAGAACGTTACTCACTGGGCTCCACCTTCGTCCCACATCCTGCACACAGGAAGTGTTGTGAGGCCACGACTTCACTGCGTCTAAAGGAGGAAACAAAGTTTCAGCATCTTTCTTCTCTTCAGCTCGTTTCTGTTTCTGGAGTCAGACGTGTTGAAACCTGAGCGTCGGGTGAACGGTGAAGATGATCTGGAGACGAGGAGGAGCCCAGCTCTGGGAGCCTCTCATCCTGGTCCTCAGTCTGATCTCCTCCGTCAGGCTGCCGCCGCTCGCCACCACGCTTCCTGTGCCCGGTAACTAGAGGGGGGGGGGTTCAGAAGGTCAACACTCTGTCCACCATCATGACGTCACTCTATTTGAAGGAGCAGGGGGTGGAGCCTGACTCAGGACTGGAGGACACGCCCACCTGCCACCTGTCAGGTTACACGTTAGCTTCACTTCGCTGACCTGGAGGTCAGGGTGCATTGTGGGTATATCGTGAAACAAACCAATCAGCACATGTCCTCACTTCCTGAAGCGAGCTGCGGAGGCTTCTCCGTCCACGCCGAGGCTCACGGGAGGGAAGCCAGCTCCTCCTGAACTCCAGCACCAGCCGCTGGGCCAGCCACTCCGCACTGCATCATGGGACATCACAGGTCAGAGCCAATGCAAAGACGCGGAGCCGTTTAAAGTCGGTGTGTTTGTTGTTCTTACCTTCGGAGCGTCAGCGTCACGTCTCCTCCAGCGTCTGAAAGTGAAACACAACACGATCCTCGTGTCACAGAAACAGATTCCAGCAGAACAAAGTTTAAACTCTTCACAACAAACGTGTTTCCTGTTATTTGACGACATGAGGACGAATGTTTGAGTTTGATCGACTGAAAGTTTCTGTTCAGTGAAGTTTGTGTTTAATTTGTAAAGTTTCTGTGTGAAACACGTTTCATGTTTGAACGACAGGTTCAGTATCTGCTCACCTGCAGATCCACGGTCAGTGGAGACGAAGCTCTTTGGTCCACGCTCGTCTTCATGTGTGCGTCTGTGTGTGTTCCTCTGTCTGTTGTCGTGCTGTGTGTGTGTGTCTGTCGTGCGTCGCTCGTCGCTCAGAGTCCACTTCACAGCTTCCAGAGCCTCCAGCACCAGGTCCACCACCACGAAATGAGAGTTTTCCTGTCGTTCACACAGGAAGTGGTGACGTTCAACAGAACCGAGAACAAACATCAGAGAGAGAGAACGAGCTGAAGCCACAGAAACATGTCCCAACTGCTAACATGGAGGAGGAGGGTTTATGAGCTATACCTCGGCCAGACACCAGGGGGAGATTTGACTTTAGGGAGTCGTCATGTCGTCCATCTTTATTTTTTATTTACAGTCGGATTCTCAACTTTAAATTCTAAAAACAAGTTTTTTAAAGTCTGAACTCACCTTTTCTAGATCACAGCTCATTTTCAAGATGTCTGCAGAGAATTCTGGGAAACCACTGCTGTGTCTGTTGTGTCTGTTGTGTTTGGTAGAGAGGCCTGACAACACACACACACACACACACACACACACACACACACACGGTTGTTTACTTTCAGTTCTTCATGATGATTTTTCACTTCAGTTTTTTGGTGAAGTTTCTCCTGAAACGTTTTTCTGGTTGAGAAGCAACAAAAAGACAAACGACTGAATCCGACAGAGGAACTTCCAGCGGATGTTTGGGTTCCAGAGTATTTTATGAATTAGGTTTTTATATTATATTTATTATTATATAAGATCTGCAGGCGTACTCTACCTGATGTGGGAGGGCCATCACAGCTGGTTGGGCGCCGCCCTCTCTGCTCCCCAGCCAATCCCTGCTGTCCGCTGGAGGGGAGGTGGAAGAGCGAGGTCAGAAAATGGTTCAGATGAGATGAGACGCAGCGCTGCTTCTTGTCCTGGAGCGAAGACGAGAGAGGACAGTCCTCCTTCGTCCTGAGTGTGGGACGTGCAGGCTGATCCAGAGAACCAGGAGACGAGCTGTCAAACAATATTTATTTATTTATATATGTTTAAATGTCAACGTGAGTTTTATCAACTGAATCTGCAGTTTCTCTAAAGATGGACGACACCATGTCCCATCTGCTAACAGGGAGGAGGCGGGTCTTATGACCCACACTGCAGCCAGCCACCAGGGGGAGCTCCAGAGGTTTTGTCTTCCCAGTCGAGCTCCAAGTTACTTTAGTTACTAATGAAGTGACTTTATTGACTTTGACGATGATGTAAAGTTACTTGAAGGATGAAAACCCCGACAGTGTTTCACAGTGCGTGGTTACCAGGATGAGGAGGCTCCTCCCCCGTGCCACGAGACGGGCCTGTGGCGTCTGGAGACGACGGGACTGCTCCTCAGGAGGAGGAAGCTCTGGACGTCTGGATCCAGAGGAGACGAGTCGTCCCTGACGCTCTCCGCTCTGCCTCCATCACCATCATCTTCATCTTCATCATCCTCATCATCCTCGTCACTGTTGAGTGGAGCAGAGCTGGAGTGTGGGGTGGACTGGGGGGGGCAGGAATCCAGATGTGGAGGCGGATGGAGAAATGTGGTCGTTCCTCCTCCGGCGGTGTCGGGTGGCGACAGAAGAAGAAGTGGAATCGATCTTGAAGCAGCTGATTGACGAGGAAACGTTCGGAGGAAGAAGGAGAGAGGACAAGTATTTAATTTATTCATTTAAATATATTTACACTTTGATCTGATCAGAGGAAACACAAGTTGTTTCTTTGGTGAGTGTAAAAGTTAAAAATCCCGAAACTCTGAGGTCAAGAGAGAAAACACCAGAGCGAGAAGTAGATGATGTGATATTTCAGGCGATCGAACAGAAGCTGCTGTTTGTACCTGGAGCCTGCAGGGGGACCGTCCCTGTGGCCGAGGGGACAGATGTCCTCCACTCTGTGAACGACTCCTCACACCAGCTGACAGATGTGGAGGTCATGACCCCGACGTCTGCAGAGGAGGAGACAGAACGAGCAGCTGAGTCACAACATCTGTAATAAACTCAAACTGTTTCTGCAGGAAGTTCCTCAGCGTTCACTCCGAACAGGAAGTTTCTTCACATGAAGCAACTTTAACAAACGAGAGCATCGGTCGAGTTCAAACCAACATCTCATCAACATTTCACCAACCTGCACCGAATCACCGAGAAACTCCAGAGACGTGTTGAAACACTTCACACGAGAAACATCTGCTTCTCTGCCGACGTGAAAACTTTTATTTTACAAAACAAATGACGAAGAAAAGATTTGCATTTATTTTTACATTTTACATTGAAAATAAAATAACTTCTTAATTTAAGTTTGTCTGACTGTGTTTTCTTTTTCCTTTAGAGTTAAACAGTATTTCTTTGTTGTAAGGATTTGATGACACACATGTCTTAGGAATCATGTTTGTATATAAATACACATACATGTGTAATTATATATACATATTGGTGGATATATTCGTAACAGCACTGACCTACAATACTAACTTTAATCACAATGATAACTTTAATCTCTTTAGTTTCACTTCCAGTCTCCAAACTTTCCATTTTTATTCGCGTTTGTAATCTGCAGGTTTTTT